TTCGGATCTCTTTCCGCAGTTTTTGCTGGCTATACACATTATACATACATGCATATCGTCGTATAAAGTACAAACCCACGTATCGTCATTCTGCAAAATCGCGTATCTGACATTTGCTGCCAAAAATTGGATTTGCTTACAGGAGATGTTGGCTCAATCCTCATCCATCCGTCCTGAAATATACTATCCAGAAATGCGATTGCTTTATAAAAAAGAGAATAATTTTGAAATATGAGTGTTTTTACTACCTATTTAGATAATAATTTATACAACCTCACATAGGCAGGCTTTGCCATTTGTTGATACGCGGTTTTGTACTTTAAACGACGATATACAGATTATTAAAGACGATCTAAATTACACTGTGTGACAAAAAAAAATTATATAGTTTTTTTCGAGGTTAACACTTGTTGTAGGTCTATTCAGGCAGTAAAATCTGCATACTCAGAATTTTAAATACACCCTCAAAATCTGGGCTTAAGGTCAAAAACCGCGTTTTTCAAAGGGTGACGCACAGGTATACTTGCTCGTAACTTTATTTCTGTTTACCCGGTGAAAAATACGTATATACGTATGTGATTCGAGATAAGAGATTTCGCTGCTTACAACAATGTTTAAACGGATAATTTATCTTAAGAAAAGGCAAAGGAATCAATGATCGGACTTAAAAAAAAATTGTGTGGTAGAATCAGGAAAAAAATGTTCTAGATTTCAAAAAAAATGTGGTAGATCTCAGGTTTTGGATCTAACTTTGTACAAAAATTTAAAAAATCTGCAAGGTTTTACCTAAATTGCAAACATTTTAATTAGAATCTAAAACCAAATTAATTTTAGTATAATAAAGCGCAAGATTGAAGTTGATAAAAATTGCGTTGAGTTTTGGCAATTTTTTCCTTGACAACTTCGAACATATTTTGAAAGATTTCCGCAACCTTGCGGAGTGCTGCCAGCTGTTTTTTTTATCACATCACGATGTAGCAAAAAAGTTTGGCTCGTTCCAGAAATGCTACTTGGGATTTGCCGATTTTGACAATTCTCAAGTAAAAGTAAACAACGCTTTAGAAATTTGAGATGCACTAAAATTTGCTAATCCTTTCACAAAAATCGCCGGTTTTTATCATTTTCGCTATTAATTCTTTTTATAAATCATATATTTTGCAATTTAACACAATAAAATCACGTTTGATGTCGAAAAATTTAATATTGAGATATATTGAGATATATCCTCCCATTCTGCCTGTTGTTAGTGTTTAGTTTTGGACAATTTTTACTCTTAAAATTAAGAAAATTTTGTCGAGCCAAAATAAAACTACTCAAAAACGCGAATATGTGGTAGATTTCAGACCTTGTGTGGTAGATAAGGTAGATGCTCAAAAAAGTGGCAGATCTACAACAATGTGGTATACGTCCGATCACTTAAAGGAATCTTACAGAGTATATGCAAACGTTTAATTTTTCACATTTTTTCATTCTAAATTACTACTTGTCCGACTATTTTGTTTACTAGTCTACATACATTTTTATTTATTTTTTTTATTTCAAGGCCCTAACCCCTAATTTCCTTTCTTTTTATGAGAAATATTATTGCCTATTTTTATAGGTTTTTTAAAAATCATTTAAAGTTCGCGACTTGTCATGTTAGGTCAGAAAATATGGTTTTGTAGATTTATCAGTTGAATTGTACTACATATTTTGTAATTGTATAAATAAGGAATCGTCAAAACTTAAAAAAATATGAAAATATATATTTTTTTTATTTGCTCAATGAAAATCGCGACAATCCAAGAATGACAGTAGATTATTATACATCATTTTAAAGGCCTATAAATCCTCTTCTCACAACATGTTCGATTTTTAAAATTTAATGAAAAATAGTCATTCAAAACTGATAAATGTACAAAACCGAGTTTTCTAGCTTAAAATAAAATGAAATGAAAGGCATACTTACATTTTTTTTTTTTTAAGTTTTTTGAGGTGCTACCCCCAAAAATTGTTATATATAAGGAGAAAATATTTATCATTTAATATAGACTCAATTGACCCAGATTAACCCATGTCACAAACGAGTTGGAATAATGAACCATGTATCGTGGTTCTGTGCGTTATTATCTACTTACTCGTACATATAAAAAATCCTAAATATATATACACATTTTAAAGAAACAAAATCAAACTTATATTAAACCGACTTCACAAAAAGGCGAAGGCTATTAATTATCAATTCGTCGGAATATTTTTTTACGTATTTAACCGCATAACTTTGGACCACGTTAACCGATTTCTATAATCTTTTTTTTTAAAGGCAAGGTGTTACCCTACAGGTGGTCCCATACTAATTTGGTTAAAATCCGATCATTGGATCATGAAGAAATTAATGATAATCTTAAATTTGTATATGAGAATTGAAGTCGGTTTTGATTTTTGCTTAAAAATTACTTGTCCATTTATTTATGAATGATGGGGTGAACAGAAATAATTTTGTTTTGCATCATGCTATGTTTTATACAATAGTAACCGTGCAAAGGCCGCTAATAAGGTGGCTAGCCAAAGGCAGCACTGACGCAAAGTCGTTATCTCAACTTCGACCCGTTTGTGGCACGGGTTAGACTTGATTAATTGAGCCAAAATTTTTAGGGAATTACTTTTTCACCACCCGCAAATTTCCGATTTTCAAAAATAAGGGCCACTTTAATGTACATATATAAGAAAGAAGCCGTAAAGAGTTTTGTTTTTAATTAGCTATAAATTTTGAAAACCTATTAGGTTTTGGCAGAGACATTCGACTTTGACCAATACGTTCTGCACTTTTTCTAGTACTAAAATTTAAGTGAGATATCACATCATGGGGAATTTAATTGATGGTTTGATGGGGTCTGCATATACATATATATTTATATACTAGTGAACAAAAAAGCCGGACAAGACGTTCCACAGATTGCTCCACCATTTCTCAAGACAAATTTACCATTTATAAATGGTTGTAAACAACGAAATGTTTTCTCTTAAATGGCATATGTAAAGTATTTTTCATCGGAAATAAAGTTACGAGCAAGTATGTGCCTACCTATGAAAAACGCGTTTTTTACCTACAGCCCAGATTTTGAGGGTGTATTCAAAATTCTGAGTACCTATGCGTATATATTATTTTTGTTTATTTCACTTCAGATCTCACGAAATCATAAATGCAAAAGTATGGTTGACACCGGATCAGCTTTTTAAGTATTTATGACCAAATGGTTAAATCGTGTGAATGAATGTGGACAATATTTGTCACTTTCCTGCTGTGCGCAAATGTGTGCCAAATCATTTGTATCTTTGGCAACCAAATCGTCTGATCGCAGAACAAATCATTTGTACATCGCTATCCAAATGCGAAAATGTGGGCAAATCTAAATTTGGTATTTTGTGTACAAATGTACAAATCGTGTGATCCCTGCTTAACAGCTCAACCTAATACTACCGGCGTGAGTTTTTCTACGCACGCACGCAAGTTTTTTACATTTGATTTACTGAAATGCATTCTGTCAAATTTCAGAATTTTTTTTAGCGAAATTTAAATCCATAGTCGCGCCAAAATGATAATTGAGCATAAACGTCAAATCGAGATGTCACGCAAGACAAATCTTGGAATCAAGGCACAGGTAGAAGCCAAAATGACGTTGCTCTCATGAGAACCAAACCTTTAAACTTCAACTTGATTTTATTTTATTTCCTATATTTCGTTACGCTTAAAATGTCATGTCGTTTGTTTTTTTGAATGTTCGTTAAAAACAAATTTTAATTAACATTTGCATTTTTGTAGTGTTGTGCGGTTTATACTTAGTGTATGTGTTAAAAATGCAGCGCCTGAAGCGTTGTTTTTTATGTGGTGTTAAATATAATCCAGACATCACAATTTTTTTAACGTGCCTCAATGCCCTCGGCGTAAGGAGCGTTGGGAAAGCAGCTGTGGGGTAGAGCTGCAGCGAAATGCCTTGCTGTGCGTTAAGCATTTTAAAGCAGCAGATTTCATAAATGCACCAGGAGGTACAGGAAAGGCACGTTTGATGCCAAGTGCTCTTCCTATGACCCTTATGCCGGAAAGTCCTTCCAACAACACTGCAACTCATAAATCAAGTTGTGAAAGCTTAATAAATGATCGCGCTTCACAAACTGAGTAAGCATTGTTAAAACGCGTTATATTTATAGAAATATTTATAATTTAAGTCGTTTAGTGGAGACTTAGAACAATCCAGCTACAAACTCGAAATTCTGTTGCTGAAGTCAATAATTGAAAATCTGGAGGGTGAAAACTCAGCACTCAAGACAGAGTTGGAGAAAGCCAAACTTATTGAAAATGCATTCCAGGGAATGTCGCAATCATTATTTGTGTTCCGTTGTTTTATTGATTGCCCAACGTTATGCCTAGTACATATATCGCTTTATACATACATTTGTATATTATACAAAATTAAAACAGGTACTATAAATATAACTTTCAATTATAAAAAAATAGAAAAGAACATACAAATTAACAAATTTTAACTAAAGAAAATAAATAAATAAATACAAAACTTCAAATTTACTTAAAAACGTCAACCAGCGAAATGTAATTTTTTTATTTTTCCTTACACACGCTCATTTTTATTTTTACTCTCCCGAAAACTTTGACTTTTGTAGGTTTGATGTCAATTTGGCTTCTACCTGTTTTTATTGTACCATGCTTGGAATTTGAGTTAGCATTTTACGCACGCCGTTCCCTTTCGATTAGTCCCATACAAGTTGTATGTGCATGAGAAATTATTGACAGTAAACTGCCGGCATGCGTGAATATTAAGTTGGTCTGTTATTTACAATTAGTGCAGACGCCTTCTTTGATTTTGTAGTTTTTGTAGTGGAGAGTTAAATTCCGAATATAAGTCAACCCTGCACTGTTAAAATGACCTATAAGCGCAGTACAATATTAATAATATTTATATTAAACGTTAAGTGTGATGTAAAAATTTTCTTTCTCATTCTAGCTGGTTCAAAGAGGAAAACGAACAACTATTACCTCTGCAACTGAGCGAACGCATCACAATAGTTTCTGCCGGTTTGCTGAAAATTGCAAAGGTAATGCCAAATTTTACTATATAAATATTCATATATGCTTCCCTTCGATTTCTGGCGTGCGTTTTGACCTACAGTTTTACGCAAGCTCCGAACGGCAGTTGTATATTCATGAGAAGCTGTTTTTTAGGGCATAAATACACTCAGGCGGCTGCTTTGGTGTAGTGGTCAACAGTGCGTGCCACCATTCCGCAGGGATTGGGTACAAGCCCGGTTTCCGACCAATATAAAAATAAAATGAATGAAATATACCGAAAACGCGTTTTTGGTCATTTTTGAACCTCTGTAAAACAATAAATTTATGCAATATATCTGCTTGTGTGGGAGGATATGAAAGCCGAAACAGTACCCTTTAATACTCAAAATCAAAAATCTGTGGTTCGAGCACTGAAGGAACTGTTTTTACTTTAAGCCTCTTCAATGCCGTGAAGACTCGAGACATGTTCGACAAACCTATATAGGTGCCCAAAATTTGTCCTTTTTATCGCGAAACCAAAGTAAGCAAGGTAAACTCATTTAACAAATTCGGATATGTTTTGTTTTTATTTCTCAAGAGTATATTCAACAAAGTGTAGCAAAAGAAATCTGGATGGTAATGACAAGATTCTGGTCTCGAGCTCATATTTATAAGAAAATACATAACAAGTGATTATTTTGTAACGTCAAAAAATATTAATGGGTAGGCTCAGAAGGCGCATCAGTTGAGCGCAACCGTTGCTAAAAAAAAATCAGTGATGGTTATGCGTTTTCTGAACGGCTTGATACATTAGCTGTCAAATTCGACTCTCAAAGGTACACACCAACATGTTGTATCAAATCATCAGAAAAATATTACGATCATCTAACACGCAACTGTTCTGTTGATCATAGGTACCCCACAACGCGTTCAGAAGGTGCAATCGCAACAGTTACTGAGCTGTTGCGCTTTCTGAACGTCCCCATTATTATTATTAATAAATTTCCAGTGCTTCAGATTGATGCAAAACAAGTGATAAAAAAACTGTTCTTAATTACTTACAGTGTTCGGACCATAATTTTTCGATTTTCAGTATTAAAGGGCAGTGTTTGAACTTTCATATCCTTCCACTTAGACAAATATATTGCATAAATTTATTGTTTTACAGAAGTTCAAAAATTACCAAAAACGAGTTTTTCGGCAGCTTCAAACATAAGTTGCTCAAAAACTAGAGCCAATCCAATATCTTTTCGGTCAGATTCGGATTCTACCGGAAAAATCCTATAAGAAAAGGCTATATTTTAGTCAACAGAAAATCTGTCAAATTTAAAAAAAAATTCAAAAAAAATATTTGGGCTTGACACCTACCAACTCTTCTTGGAATTCGAAACTGTATGCAAATTTTCATAAATATTTTGCACTTCTCAATTACTGTTTTTTATCAAATTTTTTCCAAAAGGGTAATTAAGAAGTCCTCCTGTCGTCAAACAAACAGTCAGGGTATTCGCACCTAGACACTCACGTCACTGTTGACAGTTATAACCCTGTCGGAAATTCAATTACTTTCAAAGCAATTTAAAAAGTATTTTTTTACCAACCACAATCAACTAACTTTATTAACACGGCTATGTCCTAAAACTTTAAAATGCATTAACTGAATAAATAAATTGTTTCCAACTATTTACTTTGTCAATTGATTAATTTGTGAGACAAGCCAGTTATTTCCGACAGGGAATTGGCGCAGACTATGGAACGATGAGCTGTATGATCTTTACAATGACATGAACATAGTGCAGTTTGGCGATGTCGTTCGTATGACCACCGTCGCGACGCTCCATCTCTGAAAGTATTCAACTCGGATCTCGCTGGTGGTAGCAGAGGAGGAGGGAAGCCCACCCTGCGATTGAAAGACCAAGTGGCTTCACTTAGCATTTCGAATTTGCGTCAGTTAGCTCAGAAGAGAAACGACTGGCGTGCTTTGTTAAACTCGGCCAACATCGTTTAGGTGGATACAGCGCTAAATAAGAAGGAGAATTAAGAAGTGAAATGTAGAGTTAGCGGAAACAAAACACAAACTTGAAAACGTCCGTATTGCAAAAAAATCGATGCACTTAATCTCCATTGTATTGTGGCGAACACTGCGGCAACGCGAAGCGAACAATGAGAAATAGGCAGAATGTTCGAGGAGTGAAGTAGAATGTTCCACAAAGAGAAAAGTCAAGTGGGATGAACACTGCGAACAGGGAGAAAGAGAATGAACGATGAACTTCAGAACATTCTAGAGTGACATGAGTGCGAGCGCAGGTATATAAGAGCCACCACACAGCGGAGTGAGTTAGTTACAAGTCAGGAAGCTACAAGTAAAGTGAGTTGCGAATAAGCAAACTATAAGTTTAATTGTGTTAACAAGTTTTGTAAAGCGTTGTAATTGCTTTTACGAGTATTATAAAGTGTTTTTACGGTATTAGCGAGTATTGTAAATTGTTTGTTGTACAATAAAGTTAATTGTACTACAATTTGGTCATCGTGATCATTTATTTAACAATCCCGTGATACGAGCCGTAGGATATTTGGGAAATCCCTCAAGGTTTCAAGGATAATCGTAACAGTATAATACACAGTTTAAAATAGTGGCTAGGATTGAAGTATAGTATTTCTGCCATGAAAAACAGCTTCTCATAAAAATACAATCGCCGTTCGGAGTCGGCGTAAAACTTCCATAATCTGCGACCCAATATTAAGTCTACGTGTTTCGACGTTTTTTGTGTTATTTCAAAACTTGATGCACTATGGGCTGGCGACTACTATTTGTTGTCCAAAAGTCGAGAAGTAACCAAATTGATTTGAAACTTGGTGTTCGGAGGTTTTTGAGGATGCGGATTTCGAATATGATGGATCCAATATGGCGACCAAGTTTTATAATTCTTTCTTTTTCACTAAAAGCTTATATATAAGGGGGTTCTTGAGGTCGCTGATTTCGAAACCGATGTCAGATTTTTTTAATCCAATATGGTGACCAAATTTTATAATTTTTCCTTTTCCTCCACAAACTCATATAAATGGGGGGGTTTCAAAGTGGCTGACTTCAAATCTAATATCAGATTTTAGAAATTCAAAATGGTGTATCCAATGTGGCGTTATCGGACTCGGATCCAAATAATTTGAGTTTAAAATAGCAGACCACATTTTTGCTATATATTTTGTTCTAATCCTAGGTGCGTCAAATAAAAACTTGTTCCTTTGGATATAAGTATCACGAGTGTTAGGGTGTCCCTTGTATGGCCAATTTTTTTAAATATTACCGCATACTTAAGGAACGGGTTTCAATTACTTCCATTTATAGAGATGAGCTCGCATTTAAGGTTTCAGCTTAATTAAACAACTTTTAGGTATGCCACAAAGATTTAAAAGTTATGAAAAATTAGAGACTAATACATTGTGTTCAGTTTGTTAATATGTTAACGTGAAATTTAATCCAAATCATTCAAACAGTTTGACAGTATTTTTGTTTGCAAAATCACGTAAATTCTTTATTTTTAAATCTTCAAGGTCCCTATTACTATTATTAAATATTATATATTGGATGGCTGGATATTTTTTTTGCGTTGTGCTCATTCCTTACCTGAGTTGATAAATTTTTATCAAATTCGATTTTTAATTGAAAGATTTTGGTCCAACAGTTTATCCAACAATCCACATTTATGATTTGTACTGGCAGATTCATCGGCTAAGACTATGGTTTGATGGTCGTTTGCCGCCTTAATAACCGAACGAAAGTGTTATGTCCATGAGAAGCTCCCTGGTGGCAACAATGATCCGGATCTATAGTGAATGTGTATCCTTGTCAACAGAAATACAATATACATACATAAACTGAGATGAAATACCTTAAAAAGTTTCGCGAAAGCAATTTAAAGGAAAAATGATTTATTTTTTTCTGTCACGTTCCATATTAAATTCAATAAAAAAATAAATTTTCATTCGATTGCTTTCATAAAACTGGCTTTTAAGGTATTTCGACAGGTGGTGATTTGAGATTTACCACTGCACAACTCAACCCTGGTTTCTTCGAATGAAGCTTTAACGCATAATAATATTGGCAAATCACATCCATTGGGCCAATCGTAACACACGGGAGTTCGATATACTCAATGATGCAACAGCATGGTACAATAATTACAGGTATTGTCTTCCCAGAGAGCGCATATTCCGATCTTCCTTATTTAAAAAATATCACACTAACACATTTACTGCTAGGGAAAAGGGATATTTCCATACCCCATATACCTTATAAGGCCATAAAAAATAACAAAAACAAATAACTTAAGGACGAGCACACCTATAAAAGTTAAGCATTCTAATAATAGAAATATTAACAAAAACCAACAACCACATGATCAAGTGAATTGCAGCGGAATAGCTACGCTTGATTGTAGTTGGCTTAGCAAAGTGAAATAGTGGAAAATAAGCAACAAGAATTAACAAGACAAACTTAGCACAGTGCGTAGGTAACTGGCTGAGTCAGTGGTGATCGTCGGTTCGAATCCTACTGAAAGAAGTCTGATGAGGAAATGTGGTGATTTCCCAAATAGCTATCACTTCTACCATTTTTTCAAATTATTGTTCCTTTTCCACAATAAGTTTACACTTCCAAACAGCCTCGAGCTCATAAAAATTGTTGAAAATAATAATAATAGATTGGCGCTTACACACATGTTAGTGTTTAGCAGAGCTTCTCCTCCAATTTGTGGTGTACGCCTTGATGTTGTTACGCAAAGGGGAGGGACCTACAGTTTTACGCCGACTCCGAACGGCGATTGTATTTTTACGAGAAGCTGTTTTTCATGGCAGAAATACACTCGGAGGTTTGCCATTGCCTGCCGAGGGACGACCGCTGTTAAGAAAATACCTTTTTTTCTAAATTTTTTTTATGTATTCTTACATAATTCATGTATTTATTGTGGTATTTTTATTTTATTTTTTTGGTTAAAATACAGATAAAATTTTGTTCATTTCATTAATGTACGGTTTTACATGGAATAATAAG